CACCACCCTAAGGAATTTGCGGTGTTTGCTTGCTGGCTTGGGAAGTTTAGATTCAGTCTGGTGAGATTCTGTCTTATGGTTGAAAGCTAATAAAAACTACCGAACTAGACCTGTACTGTCTCGTGGAGTTCTTTGGGCTGAACCTGACAACTGTAAGCACAGTCACAGTCATGTGATTTTCACTTAGCGACCACTTCGCTTAATAACTGAGTCACCAGAATCAATTGTGGTTGCTAAACGAGGACTACCTGTACAATAAAGAGCTTTAGGGCACTTTAAAGATCATCAAATGCATTATTGCATCACAGTCTACTTCATCAAGTGCATGGAGCATCTAATACCTCTGAAAGAGTAGTATAATGCATACATACTATCGTTAGAGAAAGGTAGAGAAGAAACAGGGTGGTATTATGTATAAATGCTTTTGTCAGAAGAGGATAGAGAAGGGAAAGGGGGAATTAAAGAGACAGATTTACCTTCAATAATGGTCAGAACATTATCAGAAGAGTTAGGCATAACAGATGCTCTTGCTTTGTTAACCTCCTTCATATGGAGTTATACAGGTAGTCCTTGTTTAGCGACTGCCTTGTTTAATGACCATTCACAGTTATGACGGTGATGAAAAAGTAATTTTGCAACCAATCCTCACATTCACAACCTTTGCAGGTCTGTAAAGCAAAAGAAAGTTGAAGTAAGATCATAAGCATGGTCGTGGTTTCACTTAGTGACCACTTTGCTTAATGACCGAGTTGGCAGTCCCAATTGTGGTAGCTAAATGAGGACTATCTGTAAAACATAGGAACATGCATACCACCCTAAGCTCCTTAGAGTGGACTAAAATATATTACTCAACAAAGGGTTTAAGTGTTTTCCCACTTGGCTGCTTTAGGTATTTCTTAACATCTAAACTCAATCTTGCTTGTATCTCTGACTCATGTTCAGTTTATTATATTAGGATCCTCAGAATTGTTGTTGCAGTCCTGTGGTATTAATTCAACTTTTATCTGACGTTTGTGCTTTATTGCAGTGTTTAGATTTCAGATTGTAAGTAGGAGAATATTTGCACTTATAAAAGAATGCTTTACAGCTGGCATTCTCATGTTTCTGATACAAAGTTTGAGTTAAGAATTAACCTTAGATCACACACTTAAAAAACAGATCAGGCCATTTTAAAAGTTATTATTTGAAATAAAAACACGGATAACATCACAGTTGCATCTCATTAGAAAGGAATATTACTAGATTCAATAAAATCTGACCAAAAATGTCAAGAATAATATCACCTTGAACTGCAGTTATTAATTGAAGTTGGTAACTGCAGTGTACTAAAGGCCATTTGTTAATTTTGTGCATGGCTGATTTTCACATAGCAGCCAAATCATAATTTGGTCATTGTGAACACACTTAGTAGCTTGTGTATTTCCATATGCTATCAGTCCTTCCCTGAGTTCTCATTTCATGGCAAACCATGCTTTACCATTATCTCCAAGCTAGAATAAAAGAACCTACTACAAATCACAATATTTATTTTACATGAAAAGGATGAAGCATTGTGCTTATGGCTAAACCATATTTTGGTTGATAACATCCAAATATTTTTTTTCAGTTGTACCAGCTCAGTACAAAATATTCTAAATATAATTTCCACTTTATTTTATTAGTCAATTTATTAAATAATCTGACTAGCATATTTACAGTGGGTTTTTTTTTTTTTGTATTCTACATTAATGTAAAAGTCTTCCCCAATATGATGCCCTCTTAATTCTAGAAGCAGCCCACCATTATGTAGACTTCTACATCCATCTCCTTCCAGGACATGCCTTTTCCAATGTGACACCTGTCCTCTGGAACAGTTTCTACCCCCCCCCCCAAGACACAGCTAGTCCTGATCCTGTTGGTCTTCACCAAGGCTGAAATTCTTTATCTTGGTTTGTGGGGCGGGGGTGGGGATCTATTGTAGGCCACCTGAAGTTGCAATATTTGAGTTGGGCAGCCATGTAAATTCTTCAAACAAATGTTAAGCAACTGCGTTTATGAAAAGAAAGGCAGGTTTATATATTTGGGCAACCCCACAAGCAAGTTAGGCTTCCAAAAATTGCAGAGCTTGAATTTCATGTTCTGTCAGCCTTGAAGGCCACTTTTTTATATGTGTGTCTATAGCTGCCCTTGATCCATAATCTGGCTCCCTTAAACTGCTTGTCCAGAATAGTGATTTCCTCTGTAAGTAGATCTTGAACTCTGGTGCATTGCCTGTAGACATCCTTCTCTCAATTTGTGTAAAATAATTTTTCTTTTGTATTTTGATTCTTTACTTTTAATAACAGAAAATTAAGTTATACATCTGAAATATACTTTTATATACTTTAATATGCCATAGGAAAAACAGTATATAAGTTATGATTTAAAACTGAAAAATACTAAGTTTAGTTTTATTCTCTTTTTATACTGATTCTATTATATTTTTGGCATAGTTAAACTAACTAGCTTTTTTCTGTTCAGTGGTTCAAAACCCTTATTTGCTTTATTCAGTGTTGTTTAAATCAGTGTATTAAAAGATGAGAAATGCAGTATGAAAGAGCTGTTGTTCATTGCCTGAACAGAGTTTTTGGACATACTTTTTTTTTAACAACCAGACCTAAAGTGCTTGTTTCATAAGGCACATGGTAACTAACTACAGGTAGTCCTCAATTAACAACCATTCGTTCAGCAATTGTTTGAAGTTATGACGGCGCTGAACGAGGAGACTTACGATTGGTCCTCAAAGTTGCAGCTGTCGCAGTATCCCTGCAGTCATGTGATCATGATTCGAACACTTGGCAACTGGCTCGCAATTATGATGGTCACAGTGTCCTGGAGTCATGTGATCACCATTTTCACCTTCACTGCCGGCTTCCAATAAGCAAATTCAGTGGGGAAGCTGGCAGGAAGTCACCAATGGCGATCATGTGACATGACGCTTAACAACTGTGTAGAATTTTCTTAATGACCGCAACTGGAATTGCCATTGTAAGTCAGCACAGTTGTGTGACATCACACTTTACAGCCGTGTCACTTAGCAACAGGGTTGCCAGTCCCAGTTACCATCGTTAACTGTGGACTACCTGTATAGACTGTTATCCGAGTTTTAATTTTAAATAGTTTTAAGTTTCTTAATTTTTCCCCAATTAAAAAAATATAAAATGAGTATAATCACATAGGACTGGTATAGAGGATTTCCTCCCCTCTGCTGCTTAGTATGTATACTGAAATGGGCTCATTCATTACTGGGAAAGGAAGATTCTTGTATGCTTGCTAAACCTCATCCATGCTTTCTTCTTGCATGGTATCTGTGAGTGTTCTGTGCATGTGTGTGTTTCTATGCACAGATGCCTGTGCACAGCTATCTATGTGTCAGCAGTATCTGCAGCAAGCCGAGATTGTGTCAGAATAAGAATACCCATGATGACATCATGATGCAAACTCCACCCAAAATCTGACACAAGTACGTAAGTTGTGACTTTTGCACCAGCACATCATGATGCTCATTTCGTCCCTTCCCCCATGGGATAAAGATAGATCTATTGGTGAACCTTCTTAGAATGGATGCTCCTTTGCATTTGTTATTGTTACTGGATAGTGAGACTTCTCAATATAAGCAATTAAATTCTCAAATTCCATGCAAATTGTCCTTAAACTGTAGACAGTGTAGAAGATACCGCATAATTATGTATCAGGTTGTTTGCAGAAGGTTCTATAGCTGGACAATATACTGGAAGAATCAAAATTTTATTATATCAATAAAAAAGGTTTTAGTAAATGATACATTACCCTTAAAAGACCAGAGTCCTTTGGAGTAGCATATATGTATATATGTAATAGATAACTAATACTTTAATACCATGTGGTTCATATATATATATATATATAAAAATAAATTTTAAAAATGTGGAGACCAAATTTCTTAGTCCTTTTTAATTTTATAACTTAACAAAAAATATGGAGTGGGATTAAGATACCAGTATCATTCACTGAGATACTAGGATGAATGTTGGTAGCCAGATATGTTAGTTCCTATGTCTGGTTTCATAAGGTGAAAATTTAATAACACTTTAATATTTTCTTTCACTTTTTCACAGCTTCTGGAAAAACATAAGAATACAGAAAGCATGGTGGAATTGCTGGAATTATATCAAATGGAGGATGATGCATATGGTAGTCTTGCTGAAGCTACCACAGAACTCTATCAATATTTACTGCAACCATTCCGAGATATGAGGGAACTTGCAATGCTCAGAAGACAGCAAATAAAGGTACAAAATTAGCAATATACATTGTAAAAATATTATTAGATATAATAAATGAACCTTTTTATCCTATGTGAAATTTTGGACATTTTTGAACCCTTGTCACACTGTTTGAAAGCTGTAAAAGTTGTGTCTTGGGTTGGATCAAAATTAGGAAAACCATAATAATGATTTTTAGCATTCAGCATTATTTGGGATAAGAAAAGAAATTGCATCTTTGTTCCTGCTTTTTTATCTTTATTGTCCCTTCTGGTTTCTCTGCTTGGTTAAAGAATTTGTGGAGAGGGCAAATAAAAGTCTTAGCTATGAGAAAAGATGTTCAATCATGAACATGGAACATAAATGGATTTGGCCTAACTTTCTAATGTATGAACTGTTGTTTTTAGTGAGTACAGAATACTTTACTCAGTCACTGGAATTTTCTGCAGATCAGATACTCTCTGGGCTTTGAGTCTTTAGCAGGTAACTGCTTACATGTTGTGAAATATTTTTCCAGAATTATTAGAATACAAAAACTGGTGCTTTTCTTTTGAACAAACTATAAATTCTAGGCTTATGTCAGAGTTACCAGAATCCTCTTTAGATGCTGAGTTTTAAGTTGCAACAGAATGATGAAAAAAAAATTAATGCCAAAATGTCAATTGTTGTGGACTATACTGCCAACTTTACAACTCATTTCTATAACTGTGCTGTCTTCTGAACCAGCCAGTTATTTCTGTGTCAATAACTGAACATTTTTGTGGCAAACCTCTAAATATAATGAATTCTTATTAAGGCGCAACAATTAAATTAAGGTTTAAGTTGATTTAGTTGTAGTATTCTATTTTTCTGTGTTATAATTTGCTATCTATGTTTGGGAATAGTAAATTTAAAATACATGCACTCAACCATGGTAATAAAAATTTAATAATGGGAAACACTGACTATAATCATGCATAACAAACATCATGTATGTTACCAAATTCCTTTTTTAATTTGCTGTTCTCTCAATCTCTTCAGGTTAGTCATCTGAATTATTTGAGGGATAGGAAGAAAGAGATATT